CAGGAAACTAAAATAAAAGAATGAAACGAAAACTGGGAGAATACGATTATCAAATAGAACGTCTCTATTCATCAAAAAGGAGAATTTTCCAGATTACTTCATAAAAATGATATAGGCAAAAACTGAACAAATAATGTACGGAAATAAAAAACGAAATGGAATTGACCGCTATCGTGTATGTTTTCGTGTGCAGGTTGATTTTCATTATGTGAAAGAGTTTCTTGATTCTAACCGACGAGATAGAATAATTAAGGAAGTCTTGTTTGCCTGAGGATAGTTGCTGAATGTTGTGACGGTATATTGATAAGTGTTCTATGTGACTTATTTTTCGATTCGATGCCATATCAATCCTGCGGATTTTTAACGAGCGTTTTTTATTGAACTTTATCCAGAGAGAATAATCACTCTCTTTAAATATAAAATTGTTCCTTGTGCTTTTGAGCCATGCAAGGACCTTTGGCCATAACATAGATTAATTCACAGGACGAAAAAATGTAAAACACGATAACCATCTGAATTGGTCCAGAATAGCTTTGATATACTCAAGACTAAATGTTCTCGCTTTCAGATGTTTTACTCGAGGAGTTAATATGCAATAAATATCTTCTACCGTTATTTTCGTGTCGGTCCAGAGCGATATGCCAACGGAGTGAACATTCCATGTATTTGTGAGAAAACTATTCATCACCATCGGACTTAGTTTGCAATCAGAGCTTATGATGAACCAGATTCCATTGGTACGAGTGAAGTTAATCCATTTAGAAAGACGAAAAAGTGAGTGACCAGAGCACATCTTATCAACATCAAGTATAAGCTGACTTGTAGCGTGGAAAACATCTCTCTTTAATGCTTCAACCTAGAAATGACAATAGAAAGACAATTTATTTTGTATCTGAATGAATTTGCTGCGAAGACGAATGTACAACAATATTTTTCAGATATGTCAAAGATGAGATTTTTTTCACGAGCAAAAATTGTAACAGCTATATCATTAATTGTCTTAAAGCTCGTTTACATCGCTTCAGCGCACACACATCTTACAAAAAGCGAGCATACCTCACTCTTAATCAATTGTGATCGTATGTCATCTGACAAAGCAAGTTTTGGAACACTTGCGTCATTATACATATACCTCAGAAAGGGTAATAAATGCAATCTGTTATCAATTGAGAGGGATCTGAGTAATTATCTTTCAAGATTTTCTTCGATAGTAGTCGGTTGCGTGAATGAATGATACGAAAAAGCCATTTTCGTGTGAAACATTGAACGTTTATCATCAAAAAAAGCTTCGCTTTTGCTGCTGAACTAATTGGTGACGCAAAAATTTCTGCACAAATATCACTCAATCATTCATCGACTAAGGTATATTTTGAAGCAATAAAGTAGGGTGTGGGTGTGGGTGGCTGGTGGTGAATGTGAGGTGTGGGTGGCTGGTGGTGAATGTGAGGTGTGG